ATGCATTCATCCTCTTTAAGTGTTACAACCTTTCACATAAAGATACCTTTTCAATTTGATGGTTATCTTTTTATATGCTGATACACTTATAACAATAGTTATTTCTATTGTTAATAAGTGCTCAGATATGTGAGAAAACATATCACAAATAGATGCAATGGTTCGAGACCTTTTCAGATCACTAAAACACACGAACACATTTTCCGTCGAAGATTTGCGCTGCAGCGCACGCTGCTGTGCGCTGCAGCGCGCATGCCTAGCAAAACAGACCCGAGGGTCTGTTTTGCGCAGGCTGCAGCACCCAAACGCGCGCTGCAGCGCACGCTGCTATGCGCTGCAGCGTGCGTGCCTAGCAAAACAGACCCGAGGGTCTGTTTTGCGCAGGCTGCAGCGCCCAAACGCGCGCTGCAGCGCGCACGGCGCGCTGCAGCGCACACTGCTGTGCGTTGCAGCGCGCGTACCTAGCAAAACAGACCCGAGGGTCTGTTTTGCGCAGGCTGTAGCGCCCAAACGCGCGCTGCAGCGCGTCTGTGCGCTGCAGCGCGCACTCTTCCGCGCTGCAGCGCGTGCTTGCGTCAGCCTACTCTTTCCGAATGTGTTTTAACCCCCCACCGCGCGGTGCCGCGCGCCCGTGCGCTGCAGCGCACGCTGCTGTGCGCTGCAGCACGCGTGCCTAGCAAAACAGACCCGAGGGTCTGTTTTGCGCAGGCTGCAGCGCCCAAACGCGCTGCAGCGCGTCTGTGCGCTGCAGCGCGCACTCTTCCGCGCTGCAGCGCGTGCTTGCGTCAGCCTACTCTTTCCGAATGTGTTTTAATCCAATTTTGTGATATCAAGATTGAGAGATATATTACAATTTCTCTAACATGATTCCCATGGATGTATCTTCATAGTAATTTAAACTTGTTAGTATGGGAATGACAAGTTAATTATATTTTAGGCAGGAACTCAATTTTGGGATGAGAAGATTTCTAATGACCTAGCTGAAGGACGACTAGATGGTATTGCCTTTGACAGGTGAGTATGACTCCGGGTAATTGTTTTTCATGCCAATCATTTACTTTCTTATGGGGTAATATACCTGACTTCCATTAATTACAATGTCTCATCATCATCATCATCATCAATATCAGGCAGCTTAGTGATTATTGATCCTGCGCAAAACGCATTAGGTACTGTATGGTGCTTTTTTCTGGTATTGCTGCTGAAGCTCTTATCTATGGTGAAGCCGAGGGTGGTGAAAACGATGAAAATCTCTTCAGGAAAACTTGTGCTCTTCTGCGACCCCCATTGTCTATTGCCGAGGTATATCTTCAGCTGATATGCAATTCTTTTAAAATATTTTTCCGTCCATAATTTTAAAATAGGCATTGTTTTTTGTTCTGTTAATTAAAAGATGTCAAATCAAGCAAGATGGTCTCTTCTGCAATCTTACAATCTGCTCAAATGGCACAAGAACGCACACCGAGCTGCTGTTAAAGCTCTGGAAAGTCGTTGCAGTCTAAGCGTTGTAATCAGGAGAATTGAGGAAGCCATGTCTACTGATGAAAGATATCTGTAGAAATTAAACATGTATTTGCTTTCAGCCTGTTTGGTAAGTAGCTGTGTTATTTTTATTATTTATTTACTTTTCATTTCCTTTTCGCTGTTAATGTATATACATGTCTAAGTGTTGCGGCTGAGAATCAGTGTCAATACTTTTTTTTTTCTCGACAGCTGGTTACATGACAGGACGATGCAAAGGAGGTCAGAAGAATTTTACCGTTGAAATAGAGACTTATTTTGCGATGCTCTCATCTTCACACCTCTTGAATTCTCACAACCATGGACAGCCGAGTTCGACATGAATAACAAACCAGTTCTTTGTTAAGAAGAGTATGTTGTAAAGGAAAGGAAGTTCCGCATCAAAGTTTATGCGTAAAGGTCGACATAAGGCGAGTTGGAGGAGTCCTGAGCACTAACCTGTTTCAATCATGGGAGTGTTGCTCTTACAGATGGAAAGAGCCCGAGCCTGAAATTTCAAACAGAAAATCATGGTGAGGCTCAAAATTCAAGCTTTATTTGTCTGAGCTTGTTATGAATTCCAGACCAAATTCTGGCTCAAAATTTATGCACTAGTGCTATGATTAGATTTCTATAACAAACCTTAACATGTATACATTTTGTCAAATTTATTTCGGGTAGAGGAAATACCCTTTTTATCCTTTGTTTCATTTGCCAAAGGAAATGCATTGCACTCGAAAACGCATCAGAATGATGCTGCTTTAGGGGGTGTAATCTCTTTCCTCGTATTTTTGTGTAGATGTTGCAAGTCTACAAACGCACACACATCTATACATGTGTAGACTAAAGATGTAGCACCTCAGAGGGACGGGTTCCTCACTTCACAATATGTTTGTCAAGGTCTTATACTGATCAAGGTAAATATTCCTGTTAATGACCCTTGAATAAAGTGGTTAACAGGGTAAATTGGATAATTCATGGCCCAAAAAAATAGGTTTTTTTTTTTTGCTCATAAAAAGAAAAAAAGAAAACCCCAAAAAGAAAGGCTTAGGGTACTGTAATTAACGTTTTAAAACATTTTTTTAAAAAAAAATTATATCTATATTTTATGTTGACTATGAAAATAACCTAAATGTCCTTCACAATTTTGTATTTTAATTTTTTCCTAATTTTTTCGTTTTCCTGTTATTTTCTTCTTTAAGGGCGTTTAGGTCTTTCTCGTTGTTGAAGTTGACCATTGATTGAGAAAATGGTGTGAATTAAGCAAGTATGAAGCCATAAATATGATACAGTTCAAAATAGTTCACCATTAAAGAACATTCGTTCTTAAGCTTTTCGGAAAAATTTGAATCCTCCTCTGAGACGAAGTGTCAAAAAAGTCCAAACTTCATCGTATGATCACCCGTGAAAGTCCATCTTATCCCATCACTTTTCCCGAGACACCCAAAAATTGCCTTTGGAGCGACCTAGGTTTGTCTTTGGAGCAACTACTGATAAACTTCATAGAAAGGTCTTATCCAACCCTCCGAGTGTCTTCTCCATTAATCGTTTGGTTGCTCTTCCTACAATTCTTCGCTATCTTGCTTTCTTTGTTGTTATTTCCGTGTTCTTTACATTTGACAACAAAATAGGCCTTCAAATTTCCTCTCTTCGGATCATTTGGGTTAATCTTCTCGATCATTTTGTTAGAGATCTTACCATTATTATCTACTTTGAGCTTGATAAGTATGTCAACCATATTAGATTTGTCTCCAACAAACTAAATACTTACATATATACACCCTCTGACATGTCACACCCTTCAGATTTATTGGACCCAAACGAAAATCTCAAATAGTTCTAAAGCTTCTTATTCATTGCTTATGGAGAAATTAAATGAGGTGGCCGGTGTTGACCACCTCTTTTAAAATATATAAAATTTTTCTTCTTTTGCTTTTTTAGAAGTTAGTCCACAACTAGTCATTTCGACCGAGTGTAATTTAAAGTATCTATCTTACATAAATAAGATTGAATTCTATTGATCAGAAAAAAGATTGGATTCTATTATATTAAACTAGTCCTTGAGATAAAGTGCCCACGTAAAGCTATCGTACTAATATAATAGACAAAACATATAGTACACATTTTAGGAATAAAATTATTTTGATACCTTTTAGTATTATGAAACATCTCGCTAACATCTTATTTTTTAATAACATTAAAAAAAAATACCTCCAAAGTATACTATCTTTCATGTGTGTATTCACTGAACTCTTCCTTGAACCAAAATATGCTTGACCATCCGCATCTTCAACAATATCAACTAGCTTGGTTGATCTAAAAAGTTAACTTATTAGGTCATGAGTCTTTCAATGTATATAAACTATTTCACATTTTCATTCACTTTTCATGTTGGATAATACACACATATATTTTTCTCAATAATAAAAATAAGCATTTGAAAAAATTGCCATATCGGTCAACAATGTTGAAATAATCTACTGGATTACCATTAATAATCTACTTGATTGCACCGTCAGAATAAATAGTGTTCACTACTTGAGTCTCTAGCCATAGCTTGATGATTATAACCGACGTGAAATCAAGTTCCCTTTTATTTGCTGATTATTTTGTTCTAATTACTCACTCACTCTCTTGGTATTTTTCAAATGGTAATCTTCAAATATTTTTTAAAAGTGTACGAGCTATTATTTTTATCTTTTACACTTAATTTATAATTTTTTAATTAAATAATTATACTAATAAAAAAATATTTATAAAAAATAAAGGATAAAAGTCGAATCTCATTCTCTATTTTTTCTTCCTTCTCTTCCTTTTGCTTCCTTCTTCAAATTCACGCGGAGGCCTCCACTCATATCTATTCACGAAGCCCATGACCCATCCGACCGAAACAACTTTCTACACTCGCAACTTGGCAACTTGCTAGTTTTGTTTCCATTCGCTTAAACCCCAAACTAACCATCTAACCGCACCAAATCATACCACTCCAAAACCGCAGAGAACAAAACAGAACCCACTCGACACTCCTTTAGCCTCCCGGACAAACCAAACGAGGGCTACAAACGAAAGCATATTCTTAAAACCCCATCTACACGGCAACAAAACTAGGAAAGAAGAAGAAAAAAGAAAAAAAATCAAACATCCCAACACTCCAAACACCAAGAAGTTCAGTTCCTGTTTCTTTGGGGGTGATTTCCTAGGTGTGAATTCAATTGGGTTTTTATTTTTCGATCGAAAATTTGTTGTCTTTGAAGTTATGGTTAAGTCTAGGGAGAATGGCGATGATGGGTCGGTGGCTCCTTTTCTGAGGAAGTGCTATGAGATGGTGGGCGACAATTCGACCGACTCCATAATCTCGTGGAACGACACTGGTGATTGCTTTGTGATATGGGACATGACCCAATTCTCTGTTCAATTACTTCCCAAGTTCTTCAAGCATAGCAACTTCTCTAGCTTCATGAGGCAACTCAATATCTATGTGAGTTTCTTTCTTAAACCTCTTTTTTTAAACTCTTTTCAAATTGACTTTTTTCTGTTTATGTTTTTTGTGTGGGAGAAATTGCTTGTTTGGATTTTTTTATTATTAACTCGATGATTTCTTGCATTTACTCTTGCCCATCAAAGAAAATATTGGAGAGGAATATCTATGTACTCTACATATTTTTGTGTTGTTTTTTAAGTGCTCGAGATTGTTAATAATTTTGTGGAGCCGATGATGTTGTTTGCAAACTAGAGATATCAAACTGATAAATGATCAAGAGCAAGCTTATAACGGATTTGTTTGACATTTATTTTGAAGTGATTTTCTTGAATGGTCACCAAGCTTTGTTGTTCATGGTCACATTCCAAAGAACCTCTTCATTGACCAGTTATAGAGTAGCGAGGATGAGCAACAACTGTTCTTTTCCTAATACCCTTGTACTGTGAAAGGAAACATTAGGAAGCCTGATCAATGGTGTTTCAATGATGAGACAGAATACAAGCATCATTGATAAAACATTGAACTTTGAATTATGGTCGAGTAATTCCAAGAGTTAATTCCTTTTTCTTACTTTTCACAGTTTTTAAGGTTTAAGTTAGTGTCATTTTTCTACAATAGAGAAAAGCGCTATAATTCCACACTCGACATTTTTGTTTTATGAGTCTTGTCATTTTCCCGTTTAATTATGGTTGAGGCTATAGGAAGATACATTCAACATGCCGAAGTTCTTATTTGTCTTCATATAATTATCCAGAAATCTTTATATTTCTTATATGAAAGAGCTGTCCTTTTTAATTTCATTTTCAATCTTAACGGAGAAGAAAGGCATTCTACTGCAGTATAGTTTCAGTTAAACTAGAGGGCCTTATCCTATCTTTATACTGAGCAATGTTGAGCTTCTGCATACTTCCGATTATGTTTTACAATCTAGTTTTAGATGGATCACAACTTGGCTTCTTATTGAACGAACCGTTTCGGTTTGGGTTAATCAGGGGACTCTTTTTCTTTTTTTGTTTTTACCAAAAACCTAAAACGTTTATGAAACAGTGCTGATGGAGAAAAACTCCCTGTTTCATTTATATTGCCATGGCAGATTAAGTCATGTTACCCGAGTCCTTGAGATGCAATGCATGCACACTCAAATATGCAAAAGAGCAATTTTTAAAAATACCCCTTGAAATGGAGCCCCCTTTTGTTTCTACCCCTTAACATTAGCCCATATATTTCTACCTTTTAGATTAGAACTTGTCAGGGGTAGAGTTTTTTAAAAGGGCTATTTTTAGTAAGTCAGGTACTTAAGGAGGTAGAATCTGAAATTTTCTCTAAGCTAAGCTATGCAGCAACGTGCAAAAGAATATTTCTATTTGTGATCCATTACCTTTTAGGCCCAAGGATATATTCAGTCTCCCTATTTCATTCCTTTTTGTCACTCTGATCTCTAGTTCTTAAGTGAAGAATTGGAGAAATGCTTTTTGTTGGATTGAAAATTTTTGTTTCTTAGTTTACAAATTAGTAATAGTCGTGTAATGGAAACTCTTACTATAACAGGGCTTTAGAAAAGTTGATACAGATCATTGGATATTTGCAAGTGATGGATTTATTCGAGGACAGAAGCATTTATTGAAAAATATTTGTAGAAGAAAGAACACTCAGGGTCCAGATCAGCGAAAAGCATCTCAACAGAAAGAACATCAGCCTGATGAATTACGCGAGAAAGTTCAAAATGGTCTTGAAAATGGTATGTGGAAAGAGGTGGAGAACCTCAAGACTGATAAAAATGTGCTTATGCAGGAGTTGGTCAAACTTCAACAGCACCAGGAAATTTCAGAAAATAAGTTGCTTGTCTTGAGAGACCGCCTTCAGGGATTGGAAAAGAATCAGCAGCAGATGCTGTCATTTCTAGTGATGGCCATGCAAAGTCCCGGGTTTTTTGTTCAGCTGCTTCAGCCGAAAGAAAATAATTGGCGTGTGGCTGAAGCAGGTAATATGCTGGAACAAGGTTCATTGGATGATAAAACCATGGCTTCTGATGGTATGATAGTAAGATACCAATCACCCATGACTGAAACTTCCGACCCTGCATTTACACCAACGTCAGGTGCAGAAAAGACACCAGATTCTGGTTCTTATCCAGACGGGATGCAAGATTTCTTCTTGAACTCCAATAATTACTCGGATTTCTTGAAGGTTCTTATGGACGAGAAGCTATGCTCATTAGAGAGTCATTCCCCGTTGGTTCTTCCAGATACAGATGACGGTTCATGGCGGCAACTTCTTTTAGCCAGTCGTTTTCTAGAAAATGTTGAAGAAACAAAAGAAGATGGTGAAGAAACTGTTGACTCCGGAATGGAGGCAGAACTAACATTACCCGGAACCCCACTGGGAAACTCTCAGAATTTCGATTTGTTTGGGATGGAATCAACAGTTAGTGAAACCAATTTGGAGAAGGCTCAGTACATGGATACTTTAACTGAGCAAATGGGGCTTTTGTCTTCTGAACCAAAAAATAGACATGGGACGTGAGCAGAAATATTGCAGGACATTGTTTTGCTTTTATATTATATGATATGATATGAGTGTTTTTATGCACCATCTTTCTTCAGCAAGTAAATCTCATCTAAACAAGTGTAGGTTTGTTCTCTTGACTTTTCATATATATATATATATATATATCATACATATATACATATATGCCATTTTTTTGGCTTTACATTCTTAAAGAACTATTATGATATCCATTCTTAATTCACGGCAGCGAATGTGTTGTTCATGCATGTTGTAAGTCTAATTTCTTATCAATTCCCTGCTTCCAAATGGAATATCCTGGTAATTTGTGTCTTCTTCTGGATATTATCATAAGTTGCTCACTTGCTTTCGTGTTAACTCGTTAAACTTTGAGCTGCTTAAAGAAATAGATCATAGGCAAACACCATGGCTTTGTTTTTTCAGTTCGATTGCGATGCTTCCTCTGCATTTAACTTCCATTTTAATGGTGATTGGATTCAAAATCCTGTATCACTTGTAAAGATGATAGCCAATTGTAAAATGCATGCAATTTTAGTGCCTCTCCCTGGTCTCTCTCTGTCTCATGCGATTTCACAAGAAACTGAAGAAATATTAAAGGCTGAGCTACAAACTAGTCTTTTTCCTCATTGGCTTACTATTTGCTAGCTCTTTTAACTTACTTTTTTTAGCCTTTGTTTGCGTCGTAGGTTTGAACTTTGAGCCAAGAAGTTCTTGTTTAAACTTTTTTAATTACAGTATTTTTTTTCAAAAAAAAAAAAAAAAGAATAATTTTGAATTTTTATTAAAATTTCTGTTCAAACCTGTAAATCAAACGGGCCATAAGTTTTTATATTAATTTGAAGAGTCTTCGTAGCAAAATATATTTTTGTCTTGCCGTAAAATAACATGTACACGTTTAGCCACTTTTGATAAAATGGTAACATAAAATGGGAATTTCCGGCACTCGTTTGTGAATACTTCTTTTTGCTTTTTCACGTCAGTAGCTCCTCAAATCGACCAAGGATCATCATTATTACCTGCTACTGATTTAAAGTCTCTTTAACTTCTGATATGTATTGTGATGCATGAACTTGCTTTAAAAAAGAAAAAACTTCACAAAATGTGTGGGAATTCATTCTTCGGGTTTTAAAAAGCTTGACACTATAAATTACTCTCTTTCATCCATATCCTCTTTTTCCAGCTCTGGTCTTTTTTGTTTTTTTTGCTAATAAAAAAAAATCTAGTGGTTTACTTTATATCTTCTAGTCTCCTCAGCTATAACAGCAATTCCAAGGACCACCGAGTATCTGCAAAGGGCTAACTTAGTTCTTTTTTTTTTTTTTTTTTTTTCGGGAAGCACCCTCTTTCTATAATGACGAAAGGAATATAGAAATGCTAACTTGATTAATGGTCGTTAGCTAACTTAAATTGCTATACATCATTAACCGGGGTGATTATCTTAGAAGTAACTAAAGGAAACCAAGAAAGGCCAAGGAAAGTAGAAAGTAGCAAAAATTGATGAGGAAGAATCAAACATAGAAATTAACCGGATATCCGAAAACTTATAAGGTCTTACAAGCTAGAAACTTCCCTTAAAACGACTGTCAAAAAGGCTAAAGACCTCAATGTTTGATAACCTTTGCCATGCCAAAAGCGGCGGCTGAAGCGACGGCGCCAATGAGAGTGGTTTGAATGGCGCTCAAGAAGGGTCTGTTACCGGTGAAGTGACCCTTTGCATAGCCAAAGATCAGCAGCGCTGCTAAGGTTAAGACGACGGAGGCAACCACAGCCTCGGACGCCCTCGGAATGAAGAAGTAAGGAGTGAGGGGCAAAATACCTCCCAAGACGTAAGCAACGGCGATTGTGATGGCGCTGTGCAATGCCCTCTTTGGATCTGGCTTCTCCAATCCCAATTCAAATCTGTCGCCATAAGTTAGTATAGCTCATTATTTTTCCCTGTGCTAGATGGTAAGTTTGCATAGGAATGTATCATGGCACGTACATATTCCATGTTTTACATTGATGGAAATTTCGTTTCTTTACAAACAATATACCTTTAAAAATGACACAATTAAATAGATTCATGAGTTACAATGTGACAAACAACTTTTTTTGAGTTGATATTGGAATATATTACTTTGCGGAAAATGTTGAAGCTGACTTAGAGATAAAAATTGGTACCATGTATAACTAGACTTTAAAGGCGATGTCCTCATAGGCTGATAAATGGCTGAAATTTGTCCTTTGTGCCCTTTATATGGGCCACCAGCAATCGGCTAATTTTAACATCAAAAGTAATTATAACAAATACTGTTTAAAATGCAAATCCTAACTCCTAAATCTGTATGCTGGGTTTTCTGCCATTGGCCCAGCCCAAAAGAGGAATGTGAACAGTAAAATGCAGGATACATATACTGATATACATTATTCTGACTTGATGAGTACACCCCTTTTTTCCCTTGATAACATATATTTTTTTAACTTTTTTATCAGGTCAAACATTATTGTCATTTTCACAAAAAAAAAAGACCAACTATTATGCCTTTCACTTTCAGTAATGCACAGTATGAGGACCACATGGCTTTTGTCCACATTCCAAAAGTAATCCAATTGGAATTGGTTACTCATTGTAGTCGGTTGGTTGGCCACTACTGAAACTGATATGCTCATCCTTCCAAACTGGTCCCTACTAGAATCTTTATTCTTTCTTAAAGTAAAATATCATTGAATATTCTATATGCCTTTTTTTTCTTCTTCTTTCCCTCCAGAAAGGAAAAAGGGATAGTAAAACCCAAAAGTTCTTTGTTTTTTTGTTTTTTGTTTTTATCAAAAAGCAAGAATGTAACCCTGCTTCATAAAGTTTGAAGTTATATTTTGTATTTTCTTAATCAAACGAAGTATACTCGTGTGTTTACAATTACATAGAACTAACCCTAATATCAGATTTAAATGAAACTAACTGCATGTGCGAAAAGTATAACATTAAGTTAATGTATTATTCTGCAGATTTAGGTTGTATTATTTTTAAAGTCTAGTTATTGATCCGTATATCATTTTTATGTGTAAATCAAGCTCTTTTTTTTTTCCCCACAAAAACAATATATTCAAAAAACAATGCTTTAAAAAGTGATATTCCTCGAGTTTGGAAATTTAACGTGGTGTTCCACCATTTATTCCACACACGTGACAAATTGTTCTGTTTTGATTATGTCATGCGCGAGCAAGTCAAGTATTCTCTAGTAACAATTATGGATGCATGAGGAGCCTCACATTTAACAACAATAATCAACGGCCAAAAACAGACAATCACGACAATCTTTTAGCATTTATTTGTAAAGAAAAAAAAAAGTGTAAGTTAGATTTATGGTATGTAGAGAGAGAGAGAGAGAGAAAAGGACAGAACTTACTTCATCATAAAATCCAACCAAGCTTGGGGCTTTCTCCTGAGAGCATTAACAACAGGTGCATATTCATGTGGCTCTATCCCATAATCTGCCAGAATCTGAGCTACCTCTGCCGCCTCTGCATTTCATATTTGGCTCTTGTTTTACTTAGGGTTCGTTTAGTATAAAGATTCAAATCATGGTGATTCTAATCATGATTTTAAAATCAAAATCATGATTCATGATTTTAAATCACCTTAAATCAAGAAAAAAGTGATTTTAGAATCATGATTTGAGCTATTTTAAAACATCACATCAGATTCAGAATCATCTAAACTAAACACTAATTCTAAATCATAATTCAAAATCACTGTAAACAAACAATGATTCTGAACCAAACGCACCCTTATTTATTTATACTCCTTTCAAAAAATGAAATCTTGAACTCTACCAAACACCACAATATACTCTACTTATATAAACTTCATTTTGTGGGACCCTTTTTTCTATTAGTATGCGGTACCCAATAATATTGATGTCTAACATTATTATTGAAGTGTTTCTATTTAATGGAGTTACATCCCATCATCAGACATCAAATGTGAGCACCATTGATGGGTCCATTTTTTATGTCTATGGAGATTTATCAAACATTTTTCTCATTATCGGTCTCATAACATTGTTTTTATGTTGTTAAACTATTTATACAATTATTTAAGGGGAAAAAAAAGAAAATGTTACAAATTAAAAAAAAAAAATAGAATACCTGTTTCTGGAACGGTTATTATCTCTTCCTGTTCTCTTCGTAACTCCCTCAGGTAGTGATCAGCTTCACTCTTGGCAGCCAGGTATCTGCACAAAACCCAATGTATTATTTTTATCGACAAAATTAGCAGAACCTTCACATGTCTCACAAAATTCTGACCCTCTGGGTACTCAGAAAGTTTTCTCTCTAATTAAAATAAACAATTAATTATTTTTTATTATTAATAACAAAAGTTGTTATCTTTTCAGTCCTCGAAAATGCAACAGCAAGAAATCTCAGTTCGTAGTATCATAATAATATATTTTTATTCTATTTCAATACATTTCGTTGTCAGCTATACAAAATTACAAACACAATATAATATATGTTGAACATGACAACGGATGTTTCTAAACCATTAAGGAGAGGTTTGTGTATGAATTAAAATTATGATATTAAAATTATTTTTAATTTATGTATATTTTTTATGAGAGAAAATAATATAATGAATTATGAATTATGATTCAAATCATAGTATGAATATCCTTACCAAACGTCCTTTTTAAGTGTATTAAAGGTTTATTTAGTTCGTTGATTCAAATTAAGATCTGATAAAATGAACGGATTTAAATTTTTATTAAATATTCTGTTAAAATTTCTATACTGATTGATTTTGAGTACTCGCTTCTATACTGGAAACAAATCTCAGTACTGCAAACACAATATACATTGAAACACTAATTCCCAGTATAGTGAATGTTGGATTTTATATCTCAATGAAAAAAAAAAGTGAATCTAATGAAATTTTTTAATATTTATAAAAACAAAAATACGTTATCAAAGGGGGGGGGGGGAAAAAACAATACAGAGAATAGAAAATATCCCCGCCAAGTCCCATGGAAATGGCGCCGGCGGCGACCTCGGCGATGCCGGCAGTGAGGACAATAGAAGACGAGGCATTGGCGCCGGAGAGGCCGGCAGCCAAGGCGAAGGGGACGGTGAGGCCGTCGGAGACTCCGATGATGATGTCACGGACAACCTCGCCGGCGTTGAAGTGCTTTTCTCTGTGCTGGCTTATGAGCAGCCTCTGCTTCTCCGGGTCCACCATGTTCCTCGCCGCCTCACCTTGGTTTGCCATGAGAGAAAACTGGCCTATTTGGTTGCTGAAATGAAAGGGGTAATAGATATATAGATATAATAATAATAATAATGATAATAATAGTAAAGGGCCAAACAAGGATAAAAAGTTGGAAATGAGAAGGGGAGATGAGAATTGCGTTTGTTCGTATGTAAATGGCAAGATGAAGAGGATAGAGATAGTATATATATTGTAATTATAGAATACAAAGTTTTGGTCTTCGGCTAGGGTATCCGTAGCGCCATTGTGTGTTCATATATAAAGGGAATTGTGATGGATAAGTGACGCGTGCTCTTTGGGCTTTGGACACGTTCCCGGCACTCTTCCAATTTTCCACGTCAAACATACTCCAAAGACTTTTCTTTTCCAAAAAAAATACGAACATATTAGAGGGGTTCCAAAATCCCGAAATTACCCTCTCTATTCGCAGTGAGACTCGTCGTTTACGCAGGACATCTTCTCCGATATGTCAACACATCATCGTAGGGAGCTTGTCGTTGTTGTCAACGGAATGCCTTCGCTAAGTCGCCGTCGCAAGGAGCTCTAGCCTCACAATGCCGTTGTGAGGAGCTCTTGGGGTTGTGAGTTTTTAAACATCAACTTCCGATGGTCGGATTTCTTCTTCTCTGTCGTCTTTCGCTCACTCCTTCAGTGGTGGGTGCCGGGATTGTCCTACAAAAGACACCTCGGCGCTTAAGTCAGAAGAATCTTTAAAGGATTTGGAATGAAAAGAAAAGAGTAATGCTAAAGATATCAACTCAAATTTTAATTATTGTGTATCAACTGACGTGTAACGTGAATAAGTAGTTATAATTTCTTATCATTAATTTACATGGCATCGTTTAAACACCTAGTAACGTAGAAATGAGAAAGTATGATAAAAAGTTGTAAGTCTTCTACAATAGATTATTGTTCCTAACCATCATGTTATAAAAAGTCAAGCATCCAGCGTTTTCCGAGCATTTCCTTTGGTGCTCCCAAGTAAGTTGGTGCCAATTCTTTGACACCAAACTTCAGTCTTTATGACATATACACAAGTCCGTAGAACTACAAATACGCTTGATTGGATCGAAGCAATCTGCCACTATTTTGCATGGAATATATTCACTCCATTTCTTACTTCACCTCCTAAACTCATGAGATCTTAAAAATATTTTTTCATTGCAGTTGTAATTAACATGTCGTATTTCAAAAGGTTGATGACAAGAAAAAACCTTTTAATCTTACTAAGTTCAAGAAGAAACATCACAACCAAAATAGCCATTCTTGAAACTTTCTCCATATTTTCTTAAGAAGTTTTTAAGATGACGAAGTTATGATTGTGTGTTATTCTATTGCAGTAGGGAAGAGTAAAGCAATGATATTATAAGAGTATGAAATAACTTATTTAATTACTTGTCATGTCTAGGGGATTTTACTAGACATATAAAATCCTTGTAATATTAATACAATAGCATCTATTGCAATAAATTCTAAATCTTATTTTATCCATTAAATTAGTATAATGTCTATGGGTAAGCAATTTATCATTCTACTATATAGTATAGGAGGGCAAAATTTTACTGTTCAAAGAACAGTGTGAGCTATTTTTTGTTCCTCGGCTTTTCAAAAACTTCACTTATGTCCCCTCACTTTTGCTTTTACCGTTTTGCCCTTACCTTCAGGTTTTTTTTGTCCCTCAACTTTTGAAAAATTCTGTCTATGTCCCTTCACTTTTGCTTTTACCATTTTTCCCTTAGTTTTCTGTCTTTTTGTCCCTCAACTTCCAAAAAATTCCGTCTGTGTCCCCATACTTTTGCTATTACCGTTTTGCCCTCAACTTCTTATTCCTCCATTTGTTTTTTATTTGGGCATTTTGGTCATTTCTCTAGTATATACTAAATGTCTTAGAAAACTTCTCAGAGAGGATTTGTTAATCTTTTTCTTTCTTTTTTGTTTATTACTCATTTAGTGTTAATTGAAGTGAGAAAGTGTGCTTTGAATAGTGCACTTTTAACTAAAATGACATAGTTTTGGTTGAAAGTGTACAACTTTCTCAAATTTTTAGGTTGTTTTTACTTTTAAGCCTAAAAATTATTCGTATTTTTTATTTTAGTCCTTTTAAATTTTTATTTTTTTCTTTTTGTCCTAAAATTTATTTTCGTTTTCATTTTTGGTTCCTTTTGCCTTAAATTTGTTCATTTTTCCGTTTTGTTTTTTTATTGACAATGTTTCTTTGCTTCTTGCCCTAAAATTTATTTATTTCTTCATTTTAGTCCTATTTTATTTTATTTTATTTTATTTTATTTTATTTTATTACTTTTTGTCCTGGAATTTTTCTCTTTTTTTATTCCTTTTGCCCTAAAACTTATTTATTTCTTCATTTTAGTCTTTTTTTGACCTCTTTTTTATTCTTTACCTGCAACTTTATTTTTTTCGCTTTGGCTCCTTTCCTCTTAAAACTTATTTATTTCTCCATTTTGACCTTTTTTGACTCTTTTTTTTTTGGTTTTGGTTCCTTTTATCTAAAATTTAGTTATTTCTTCATTTTTGTCATTTTGACCCTTTTTTAATTTTTTCCCAAAAACATTATTTTTTCACTTTGGTTCTTTTTGCCCTAAAACAATATTTATTTATTCATTTTAGTCCTTTTTTTACTTTATTTTGACTTCGTACCCTAAAACTTATTTTGGTTCCTCATTGAGATTTTACATTCAGATTTTATATATTTTTAATAATAACATGACAATTAATTAATTACAAATTAACACACAGATTACTTTTCACATGCAAAAGCACGAGGAGTGCAACTAATATATAACTAGATAAGGACTCATTTAATTCAATAAAATAACAAAAAAGGGAAAAAAGTAACCGTAAAATATTTAAAAAGCTAATATTCTTTTGTCTGCCAAATCCGAATCAAATGAGAACGAACCCATAAAATATGAAATGTTTCGACACACTCTGGTCGTTTGAAACTAATAAAACCAGTTTTTGAAGATATCTGGATTGGTTTCTTGATTTCTGCCGAATCCGAATCAAATGAGAACGAGTTTGGGGATTTCAATTTTAGAGTTTCTATCTGTATTTAAGGAGTAGGAAGAGACTTATTTACCCTCAATCATCACGCACGTGAGCGCATGTGAGGAGTTTTCTCTCTCCTATTTACGGAAAATGCAAAGAAAAGTAGAAGTTCATGAAAGCTTGAGGTAGTAGGGTGGAGATTTTCAAAATTTAAAAAGTAAAGTGGGGGTAATACCAAAAGTTCTGGGGGAATAGGTGTAAATAATCTAAAAATAATTGTTGAATTTAAACTTTACTCAGAATTTACTCTTCCTTTTAATTTTCTACCCTTACAAAGGGACCTAATTTTTGAACTTTTAACACATATAGTATTTTGATCCCATATAAGGAGATGATAAGAAAATCGTAAAGATGTTGTGAGAAGAAAATATTTAAAATCAAACTGTAGCCCTTACATCGTGGCAATATTCAAAGTTGTCGAAGAAAAAATATGATGTGCAAAGTTTAAGGCCGTGCCATATTGTGTCTGTTTGAAACATTTTTTGAAAACGGTTTTTACATATTTCGAAAAATAAAAAATGAAAATGAAAAAGAAACAACGTTTATTTAGTAAATATTTTGAAAACGAAAACAATGAGAATAGTTTTTGTGAATGAATTAGAAAACAGTTGAAAGTTGTTTTCATTTTTAGTACTTATCAACAATATTATAATATATTAATTAATAAACACCTACGTAATTTTAAAATCGGTCTCAAAATGATTCTCAAAACAATCACATTTTTACTTTTTATTGAAAATAAAATCATTTTAAAACCAATTCCAAATGCATCTATTATGTTGTGGAAAAACATGGGAAAATAGGTGACATAAATAATTGAAATCACTTTAAACTATTATATTGTAATACAGGATATAAAAACAAATCAAACTTTATACCAACTTTTTGCCCACAAAGTAATACAATATTCGCCCACTGATTGTACAATAAGTAGTCAAATAAAGTGTGGAGCTTGATGACAAAGTATGGTAAAGAATTTTGATCGTCTTTTACAATAATTTATTCTTCTAGTCATCATGTGCTATAAAAAGTCATAGGTCTAGTGTTTTCCGGGCATTTCCTTTGGTGCTCCCAAGTAAGTGGTTGCCAATTCTTCAACACCAAACTTCAGTTCTTGGTGACACATACACAACTTCAGATAACTGCAAATACACTTGTTTGGATCGAAACAATCGCCCACCGTGTTGCACGGAATATTCACTACATTTCTTGCTTCGCCTCCCAACTCATGAGAACCTGCAACAAATTATTTTTCATTACTGTTGTAATTAACATGTCGCATTTCAAAAGTTGATGAACAAAAGACTATATAATAAAGATAAATAAGTAAAATCTTTAATCTTACCAAGTGCAAGAAGAAACATCACCACCAAAATAGCCATTCTTGAAACCTTCTCCATATTTTCTTAAGAATCGATGTTGTTAAGATGACGAAGTTTTGATTGTGTTATGTTCTATTTGCAGTAGGGAAGACCTATTTATAAGTGAAGCAATGATATTATAGAAATAACTTATTTAATTACTTGCCATGTCTAGGAGATTTTGCTAGAAATATAAAATCTTTGTCACATTAATGCAATAGAATCTATTGCAATAAATTCTATATCTTATTTTATTCATTAAGTTAGTATAATGTCTCTGGGTGAGCAATTTATCTTATGTAATTAGATAAGGATTCATTTAATTCAATAAAATCCAATCTTATTTATGTAATTAAATATTTAGATAAGGATCTCTACTCTATCTCAAAATCCCATCAAAAACCTTATCTGCAAAACCTGAATTCGAGAACGTAGATAAACTTATTTGATCAACAAAAAGTTAAATTTAACAAACCAAAAATCAGCTACAGATTAACAAATAATTAAATATTTTTATTGAAAAAAAAATTCCTATAAAATTGTTGCGTTTAAAGGGAAATAATGCCTATTATTTTTCTGAGATCGAAGCCGCGCTCTCCTAAACTCAAGTCTCAACACCCTACCTTACGTCTATACTTATTGTATTCCATATACTTATATTTGTCTTTTTATGATTTGAATTACTCATAATACCTACTTTTAAAAATGAATTGAGACCACAAATATTTTGGTCTTTGATGAGAATAATTCCAATATTTGGAATTGTAACTATTTTTAGAGATGCCCAGCCCGTTCTCCTTAGGCCCATGCGGGCCGCGGGCCAAGCCGGCCCAGCCCATATAAGAATGACATCGGCCCAGCCCACACCACAAGTTAATTTTATGTGGGCCAGGCTCGGCCGTACTGCGGGTCAGGATTGGCCGTGCCATGGGTCTTAAATGTGATGGCCCACTCAAGGCCCATCTTGGCTCATCATGGGTTTAGATGGGCCGGCCCATCTAAGCATGCAATTTTTAATTTTTAATTTTTTTATTTTTTAAACAAGTTAACAAATATATAAGTTTGAATAGTCAATGGAGATATGAAAAGGGATATTTTATTTTTGATTACCTCATTAAATAAAAACTTTTTTAAGAAAAACCCAATTGGACAAAACCTTAGTAAGGAAAAAAGAGTACAATCAGGATAATTATACATAAGATGTTGACAAAATTACTAAAAAGAAGAAAAAAAAACATGAAGATATTATGGGCCTAGATGGGCTGGGCTGGGCCGGACCATTATGGGCCTAGACGGGCCGGGTTGGGGCGGCCCATCATGGGCCTAGACCGGCTGGTGTAGCCTGGCCCAAGCTCAGCTTGGCCCATGACTTTTCATGGGCCATGCCGGGTCGGCCCATGGACCGATATATGTTGGCCCAGCCCAGCCCACTAGCCACTAATATTTATGGGCTGAGCCGTGCCTTGAACAGGGCCAGACCGTGCCGGCCCGGCCCGTCACTGTGTCAGGATGGACCTGGGCCGGCCCACGGGCCTCGGTCCATTGTTGCATCTCTAACTATTTTAAATACCCAATTGTATTGTTTTTTAAAACATTTATCTTTTTTAAGGTTTTTTTCTTATTGTTTCAACACACTCTATATCTTGTGACTTCTGCATTATCCATATTTTGGATAGAATTGGTAGAAGAAGATGGGTAAAGCTCAGCCCAAAAGCTTTTAGGAGATGATTATCAAATTATATATTAGACTATAACTGTCCATAAAAAGAATAGTTGTACATGTGTCAAGAGATTGTGAGACAGCTAATAACAGAATTTATATACACCTAATTAAGCTATGGTAAAAAGTACATATTTGCACTCTAATACTTTGTTTAAAGCAAGAGTGACCATGTGGTATATCTGTTTTGATATTAAATTAAAACTATTAGATTGTATAGTAAAAATAATTGTGGAGAAATTGTGGCGACTGACCCTTTTTAAAGTCTGTCTCTAGTTTTGCTAAGTTTAAGAAAATGTATTGAAAGAAAAATAGTTTCTTTCATAACAGTAATTGAGTTTTAATAAATGATTTGTTGATCTTGGTAACTAATCCATTATTATAATTAAACATTAGATTATCAACGTACATCTAATGTATCTCTTTCAAATCAGGTAAATTATTGATTCTTAAGTTCTTTTTTAAAACGAATATTTTTTAATTTAATAAAACAAGAGACATTTACCGCGAAAATCAAATGCCTAATATAATTCCTTTCCAAAGAGCACGTTTTCAATAGGAATCTTCTATATTACCACGAAAATCAAATGCCCTAAATCACTTTATATAAACTATTAATGAGCACCATCAAGAAAACTCCTCTTTTATAATCAAATTTCATTTATCATCTAGTTTCAGTGAGTTTGCACTACTATAATTTGGGATATTTGCGACGACATTTATCATCGCAAATAATTAACTATTTACAGCAATGTATCATCACAAATATTTTCGTGAGGCTAAAAAATATTGTCGTTGCTAAAAAAGACACACGTCGTCGCAAATATTTACTTGTTAGCAGGCATTGTCTGGCGCGAACTTTTAGCGCCAAAATAACTTTATTTACGACGACGTGTCGTCACAAATAATTAACTATTTGCGGCTCCATGTCGTCGCAAATATTTTCGTAAAACTGAAAAATATTGTTGTCGCTAAAAAACACACAACATATTATACTATTTTTATTTCTAAATTTATTTCTTTTTTCATATTTAACATAACATGTTATACTTTTTTTATTTTTTTTATTTCATTTATCTTTGCAGGCTAAGATGGAGATAGAAAGAACCATGCAGATGACATAGTTTGTTGGGGAAGGTTCATCCACGGCGGTCAATGAGGAAAGGATTATATCCCAAGTCTTGGGAAAGCGTAGAGGACACACTAAGGGAGTGGGACCGACACTGCCACGGAAGAATTGTTCAAGCGCTTCCACCTCATCATCTGCTTCGCAATCGGACGGGTCGTCTTCAGTTAATTTGCCCCAGCATGTCCAAAACTGGCTGAACAACCTCTGCATCAAGCAACGCAACATGTTCGATAACCAACAGATCATGATGGAAGTCATGCGCTCGATGAATCCCAACATCAACTTCTTGTCAGTTAACCACTCCCAACTGTTGGTTCCTCTGCCGCCTGAGCGAAACGAAGAAGACGAGGATGAGGACGACGATGCTGCTAATTTAGGAGATTAAAATATCTATTTTTATTTTTCTTATTATCAATACTTTTTAGTATCTATTGATTAATTTACTTTTTAAGACTTATTTTATTATTGTGTTGACTATTTTATATCAATTATTATATTTTATTTTATTATAAATTTTTTTCAAATTTATATCTTTATTAATTAATATTATTAAGAAAGTACGGAAAAAAAAGAAAATACTATTTGTGACGACATATCTAAGGTGTCATCGTAAATAGTTCACATTATTAGCGACGACGATTTAGTCGCAAAAGATTTTAAACACTTTTGCAACGACACTATGTCGTCACAAATGCGGTATGACACGTCATCATCAACAACATATTCAACGGAACATTCGTGACGACTTATTCACGACGATTGTCGTCGTTAATATATTTGTGATGACATTTCAAAATTTTGTCGTCGCAAATATATCATTTGCGTCTAATTTTTTGCGGCGACTAATTTGTGACGACATGTCGTTGAAAATGCAGTATTTGCGACGACCAATCACCTATTATGACGACATTGAGTGGCCGCAAATGACTTTTTTTTGTTGTAATTGCCCTACGTTTAACTACTACATATTGTAGATATAGATATTATCTCTAGGAAATGATACATGAGTAGTTACAACAAAAAGGAGCCAGATTTTGCGGAATTAATATTATATTATAAATTTATGTCAATGGGGCAATTACAAAATTCATGATATAGTAATACATATTACTACCGCAGCAAATGCATAATTTACACGTAGGTAGAAAGCAAAACGATGGATATTAATACATTAACCACTCACTGAAACTTCAGTACAAATAAGAGAATCAAAGTCTTAAATACCCTCCAAACATTTCTTTTATCTAAATACTTAATTAAGTTAATTATTAATTTATGCTCGGAAAAACTTAGCAATGCTATAAGCAGCTGCAGAGGCAATGGCACCAATGAATGCAGTTTGGATGGCACTCTTGAAGGGCTGATCTCCGGTGAAGTAGCCTTTGGCAAAACCAAAGATGATTAGTGCCACTAAAGTTAAGACAACTGATGCTATTACAGCCTCTCTAGCAATTGGAATGATCATGTACGGCAACAATGGCACTAATCCTCCCATTATGTAAGAAATGGCAATTGTCAATGCACTCTGTAGTGCTCTCATTGTGTCTGGTTTCTCTAACCCCAGTTCAAACCTGCAAAATATATTATATATATATATGTATATAATAAAGATAATAAGCACGTGAGATAAAGTAAGTTATAAGTGCAATTATATGGGTCCAAACATATTGGACACTCACTATCTTTTTCTTTTCTTTTTTTTTTTAATTTTAAGGTACTATCTATTTTGATACCTTATTGATTTATTAATTATCCCACTAATGAGAGGAAAAATCAATTTATATCTTTTTTTTATACTAAAAACACTAAAAGAAAATGCTAGAAATTAGAATAATCATGTGTGTGTGTGTGTGTGTGTGTGTGTATAGGATCATCTACTAATTACTTCATCATGAAATCAACCCAGGCTTGAGGGTTTCTCCTTAGAGCATTCACAACTGGCCCATATTCATGTGGTTCGACCCCATATTGTGCCAATATTTCGGCAACTTCGGCAGCCTCTGTATTAGAACTCAGAAATTTAATGAGGACGTCCAAGTGTTAATATTGAAAATCAGAAATGACAAATACAGCAAAATAATAATAGAGACAGTAGTACCTTTTTTGGTTAAAAAAAAAAAAAGAAAAAATAATTCAGATGTGTACTTTGTTCTCCCGTTAGTAAATATTGAAGGTCAAAAGGATATGATATATCACATATGATTATAAGGTGGGTGGGCTCATAAATAATATATAATAATTTTACTTTTCGCAAGTGAAAGTATTAATACTTATTTAGGAGAGAACTATTTTCCCATTCAACATCTCTGTGTGCTATTTCATTGCTTCTCCCACAGTATTAATCGAAAACGTCTTTGCATATGTGCGTGTATTTCCTAATATAATAGGGATCTTTTACCAAGGAAAAAGAACATTATATTAGTGTGTCACATGCTAATATATAGTTTTTAAAATTACCAAAAAAAAAAACAAAATATAATATAATATTAGAGGATTTTCAATCCCTCCGATGACGTCATATATGCACGTGCTACTATGCACATTTTATCTTTTCTGTCTATAAGCGTGTATGTACAGGTTGTTTCTTTTTTTTTTTTTTTCTTCGATATCTACAAATAAAATAATTTCCTCCTTGCCCGCCCGCCACTAAAGCTCAAGTGTCATATATTAACAGATTACGTACAAGAGTACAAAACCCTCCCATATGGCTGTCACTTAATGAAATATGTTGCCGCTTTTAATCATAATTAGTACTGCTAGAGGGGACAAAAAGTAGAAATTAAAAAGTGTCCACTAATTAATATATGTGCTTGGTAATTGACAGTTATTAACATTCAAAACAAGCTAATTATAATTAGTTGAATGAAATATTAGAAACCTATTTCTGGAACGGCAACTATTTCATCTTCTTCTCTCTTTAGCTCTCTCATGTAGTGATCAGCTTCGCTCTTTGCTGCAAGATACCTGCAGCCCATGGTTGAAACCCAAATCCATTTAGCACTAGCTAGAAAGAAAGAAAGAAAGAAAGAAAGAAAAAAATACTAGGAATTAAGAAAGTTCACACATCGCAAAACCCTGCCCGCTCCACATTTCCTCCATAAAGTTCTAGATGTCTAGGATTTAACCATTATAGATTTAGGTGGTGCATATTCTAATCGTTATATATATATATATATATATATACACACACAATATATATATATGGAATACAAAATCTCATACATATAATGCATAATCTTACTGAATTTTTATAAACGGTTCAAAATTTACAGTCATGTCATGTTGTAAAATGTGTACACAAAAGAAACTGTTGTCAGAAGTGTAGTGTCATGCATGTCATGAAAGTACTTCGCACAATATTAGACGTCGTTAAAAACTGTGGTTAAATGTCAGGAACATAAAACGACGCTTGATTTTATAATAATTCTAAGCGTTGTAAAATCTCTTAACGATGCTTTTAAACCATCGCCATAGCTGCAATTTCTATTTGGTGTACACATTTATGATAATATATCACGGATTTAAAAGAAAAAAAAAATGGAACAAAACACAAACACAAGCGTGCGTTTAGTTGGTAGATTCGTATCATGATTTGAATTGTGATTCAGAGTTCGTTACAGTATTTTTTCTCACAAAAAACACATGTAAATCGAGAAATCGAGAATGATTCTGAACCCATTAACCTAACGTCCACTAAAAAGTATGGCTCTTACCCTCCTAGCCCCATGGAGATGGCACCGGCAGCAACTTCAGCAATTCCAGCAATGAGAATGATGGAGGAGGAGACGTCGGCTCCCGACAAGCCCGCCGCAAGTGCAAAGGGGACAGTGAGGCCGTCGGATGCACCGATGATGACATCTCGGACGATCTCACTTGACATGAAGTGCTTCTCTTCATGATCATGAAGAAGTAGCATTTGCTTCTCTAGATCTGCATACCCATTTTCTGTCATTGTAATATTAAAGACGTAATCTCTCTATATTGAATGAGCAAATAAAAGTACAATAAAATGTGAAGTAAATATTGTTACGATAGGACTATTTTCCTTGGGACGATCTTCGGAGTAGTGAGGAGGGGGATTTATAGAAAAGGTTAAATGTACGAAAATTTGTAGGTGTGAGAAGAAAATTTGAAAAATAAAATAAAATAAAAGTGGTATGTGGTAGGTGTGTAGTGTCTGTATCACATTTGCGAAAGAAGGTGGGTCTTTTTTTTTCTTTTTTTTTTTTTTTCCTGCAGATTCCAATGAAAAAGAAATGTAGAGAACATTATCTGGGTCCACTACTCCACTTTTTTCTTTTTTCCACCTCCTTTGAGCTGCCACTTAACTAGTAGGGAGAATCGAAGTTGTGTATACTTTGAATTAGGCCCCGTTTATTTTATCACTTCGAGTTTAAAATTTGAGTTTTATTACAGTAAAAAAACACTTAGAAACAGTCACATTTAATTTTTTACTACAGTAAAAAACTCTCACATAAAGTCACATCTCAACTCGAATTGAAAAGTCGAATCAACGAACTAAACGGGTTCTTAGTGTCTATTTTTTTCCCCTAAGGGAATTAGTTTTTTTTTTTTTTTTTAAGATGGGCATATTTATAAAGAGAACATTGCCGTGATCCTTCAAAGAGAGTTATACTTTTATCGTATTATGTAAAAGTAGTAAACATACATTATATATATTAAACATAACACTAATATTGGATTTATATAACATCAAAAAATTTAGTTATCTCAAATCATTGTTATTTCTTTTTAATATTAATGTTATGTTGAGCAATTATCATGTTAAGTTTTTTATTTCTACATAATATATGCAAGTAGAAGACGATAGCAAAGGCGCGTGCAATATATATATATATATATTCTAAGAAAAGCAAAGCTCATTGGTTTTGATAAATGTGAGGATAAATAACTAAAACAGATAGTCATTTTCTCTCATGCATCAATTCTTTTTTTAAAAAAAATTAAAAATGAGAAATTGAAACTTTACATCTGGAGTCAAATATGAATTTATTGATAAGCAATGTCAGTCACACGTCTCACCAATATTAATTTATAAATATACATATGTTATATAACTGTTCTAATATAAGTGGGGCTTCAACAGTAATATTTAGGTCCCGTTTGCGGGTTCGAATTGTGTGGGTTTGAATCTATATGTAGATTTTCTATGGTTTAGATTGGCATTTAATAGTGTAAGGTTTTAAATAGAAAATAAAATTTGAATCATGTTTGGTTACATTATTAGAACTACGGTTTTTTTGAAAAATGTAAGTGAAAATAGTTGGTGGAAACTTTGGGATGAATTATTGAACTATGGGTTTGCACCTTAAGAATATTGACGGGTTAAAGTTGGGTAGAACTTTCAATTTTGGGTTCAAATGAATCCTAAACCCAAATCCAAATTCAAAAGTTATGCCAAACAAGAGTTTAAATTGATTTTTAGATTCAAAACCACCTAAACCCTCTAACCAAACAAGCATTTAGAAGTTACTGCTTCAGCACGAATCTTGTTCTGGTACGAAATCATATATACAATCAAGAAATTAAAGAAAAATAAATAAATAAAATAAGAAAATTTTAGGTAAGAATCGGTCATTTTCACAATCAATAGATATTGTTTATAGTTCCCATAAAATAAAAGAAACTAATTAGAATGAATGAGAATGGGGAAGAGAAGTCCCTATTGTTATGAACAGTAGTTCTTAATTTCAGTTAAAGTTATTATACAAGTCAATTAAAAGTACTGTTTATATCATAATTTTATTGTACAAATAGTAACCGTAAATAGTGCTAAAATTTTTTATATAAATAAAACTTTAAAACTCTTTATTTTATATACTTTTACAATATTGATGAGACTTTTTCTAAAATTTTTCTTTTTAAAACTTTTCTTTTTAATTTTGTATTTTCTTAGCTTTCGTAAAACATATCATATTATTATTGTCGGTACAAATATCAACAAATAGTGGTCAATGGAGCCGCTTGAACAGAAAACATTAGGCGTGTGTTAGGCACGGGCAACCTACAAATGACGAAAGCAAAACACTAGGCGTGTGTGCGACACAAGCTCTCATGATCCAAAAACATTACTTTCAAACTTATAATCAATAAAAAAACAAAAACAAAAAAACAAAAGACGCATGTGAAAATTGACAAAGTCGTACAATTTTTTGTGAAATCATCAATGTTTGCGCATAGAGGAAAAGCAAGGGAATCTTTTTGGAATCGACAAGGGGATTCCCCACTATGAGTTGCATATCGTTTTGACATTATTTGTTTGTGTTTAAACTGCAATCAACAAGAATACATGTTAAAATGTAGAGCAAGGATGGCCCCACGAGCCGAGAGGAGCATTTTTATAAAATGTATACATACCCGTCTCAAATTTATTAATAAGAAAAAGAAAACAGAAGAAAAAAATAGTGCCGGAAAAAAAAATGGTGGTTGGATAATACTTGCTCCTTATGTTGGCATAAAAATTTGTGCGGTAAAATGTGAAATTATGTAGATGAGTTACATATAAATAAGTTTTCTTGCATAACTCTTTACCAACACAAACCTTTTTTAAAAAAAAATTACGTACACCAAAGTGCTTTTGATTATTTGGAAGAATATAATGAATGATTTATGATGTATGTCATAACTTCTCGCTGCTGGCAGTGGCACCACTAATATTTGACATATCAAATATATATATATATATATATATATTGACCGTTTATTACCTTGTTCTCCTAGCAAGCTAGGAACGTTATGCAGGGTTGTGTGTAATTTTCCCATATTGTGGGCACATTGTGGTACTTTTGTCATTGGTTTGTTTTATGTAATTTAGAATATGCGTGAACAAGAGAGGTTCTCCTCTAACTTTCTTAAAGCATGCCATTTTTGTTTCAAACTGATAATTATTGGGAAGTGCACTACTTTATGTATAGGGTTTTTTATTTTTTGTTTTTTCTATGTCGAGTTCATTTCATGATTTCTTCCTTGAATTAGAAGAATATAATGCAAACCTGACGAGTCCACATATAATAATTGTTTAGTACACAAATTAATTAAAAATTTACTTCTTTTGGCTATATAGCTGGTAAAAAAAAAAAAAAAAAAAAAACACAAAGTAGTGAGAAATGAGAATAGAGATGTCGTGTATTTAAAAAGCATAAGTCCATCCCTTACTGATGAAATTTTCATCATGAAAATGACAAAAAATTGAAATTAGGACCATGAAAGACGAGCATTGTATTCCTCAAAGAAAAAGTGTCCACAAGCAACATCTAACTCAAATTTTCTTCATATCTTTCTCGGTATAGAATATATGCGGTGCCTATTTCAATTCTCTCTTTATACGAATCTTCTTGCATCTGCAAAAATCAGAGATGATGAACTTTGTGGCTAGATTTCTTTTGCTGCTTTCACTAGATGTCTTTGGGCTAATAAAACTTCAAAATGAATCTCATGTTAGTTTAGAAGGTCTATTAAGAAGTCGTCGATCTATAAAATTATCCCATTTAAGCCCTTCTATCAAGAATGCATTAACAAGTCCATAAAAAATGACATGATTTTTTAAAATATAAGACTAGTATTATTGTCTCATTTCCTAATATCTTAAGTTTTTAGGATGGATTGGTAAATTAACATAGTATCAAAGTAAGAGGTCCTGAGTTCAAATATTCATAATTGCACTCTTTATTTTCATTTGAAATTGTTATGACGTGTTAAGTCTTTAATATATTTCAAACTTATTATTAAAGTACCCCTTTTAAAAAACCCTACCACTTGACTGGTTCTAATATAAAATGTACAAATATATGAGCTAATGTTAAGGGGTAGAAATTGAAGAGGGCTACATTTCAAGGGGTTATTTTAAAAATTGCCCATAGCAAAATTTCAATAGTAGAGTATAAATATAGGAAAATTTTTAAAATATTACAAGAATAGTAAAATTTTGATATCACTAAAATAATGATTTTATCATTGTATAGTAAATGAGACATCATTATGATAATGATTATGTCATTTTTGCTATATTTATAATATTCTAAAAAATTTTGCTAAATTTCAACTTAAGGTATGAAATTTTACCGTGTAGTGTAATTACCCATCGATGATTTACACATATAGCAAAATGTGAATATCAAAGTTGAAATTTGACAAAAGTTTTGAAATATTATAGGAATAGCAAAATTTTATATCATTCTTACAACATTAAAATGATGACTATATCATTGTATAATATAAGATGTTATATCATTATGATAGTGACTATGTTATTTTTGCTGTATTTATATTTTTCTAAAAATTTTGTTAAATTTCAACTCAAGGTATGAAATTTTACCATGTAGTGTAATTACCCAGTAATGATTTACACATACAGCAAAATTTGAATATCAAAGTTGAAATTTAACAAAACTTTGAAATATTATAGGAATAGCAAAATTTTATATCATTGTTATAACATAAAAATAATGACTATATCATAATACAATACAAAATATGATTTAGATAATTATTATGTTATTTTTGTTATATTTGTAATATTTTGAAAACTTTACTAAATTTTAACTCAACGCATAAAGGGCTAGTTTAGTTCGCTGATTCTTGTTTTTAATTCAAGTTGAGATGTGACTTTATGTGAGAGATTTTTACTGTAGTAAAAAAGTTAGATGTGACTGTTTCTGAGAGCTTTTTACTGTAGCAAAACTCGAAGCGGTGAAATGAACGGGTACCTTATTTTATCATGTAGTGTAATTACTCAAAAAAATTTACCCACATGATTGCTCATTATTCCGCCCATACGTGAGGGCTAATATTAAAATATAAGACTATTATTAATCTACCTCCTAATAACTTAAATTTTTAAGATAGATTAGTAAACTAATATGATTGTCATTGACTCACATGCTATTTTCCATCTATTTTTAATGGATTCTTAACAAAAGAGGACAAACTTATAAAGTAAAGACTAATTGTGAGACGTTCTAAATATACATCTATCGACCAAAATAGGATTAAATACTCTTTAATCGGGAACA